CCATTAAAAACCCCCCCCCCCCCGCTTTTTTTTTTTTATTATTTGCATGAGATATTCTAAATTCAGTGATCTGACTAGTCCTAATTTATGGTATTTTCTCAATTTTACAAAAATAAAAATATTTCAAAATGAATTAGAGAAATACAATCGTTTATGATTACCATATCTTACCGACTACATTCCAACTATGGGAATATTTATCTAAATTAATACTACAAAAACTAAGTAATATTTCAGGCTGAGAAAATGTTTCCTTCCAAAGTAGTATTCATCATCAAATGCTGTGACACTTAGAAATAATTGCATATATATTATTAGTCTAACTAAGCTTCCTCTTGGGTATAAACGCTATTTGATGGCAGGTAATTGCTCTATTCTCATCTAAATTATTGATATTATTTCAATAATTTAATTTTATAACTTGTCATATTTTCTTCCTAGAGAATATAGGGTGGCTGAGGGTGACGAATGAAAAAAGGTAAATACCAGACTACCATTATTATTCTCGATATATTCTATGTTTCTCGATCAATAATTCAATATAATCAGGCAATTCCAAAAAGAAATTGAGGCAGTAATGTAATAGCATACATAGAATTTTGGAAGAACGAGCTGATCTCTCCGCCTTAAATTAGAGATTTCGAGTAAAAAAGAAATTTTTGGTAGAAATATTTTTCTTTTTAATAAGCTCTACACTGCGTGATTTCGAATAATTTTGGTTAATAAATATCAAATACCGAACGGTTTACAAATATTTCTTGACTGTCAAATTCGTGATAAATGCCACGAGATATTTTTATATTTATGGACAACTTGAAACTTTATTATAAAAATTATCTCTCGTTTTTAGATATACGCCTATAAAGGTCAGAATTAGGTTTGTTTTTTTGCTTTTCGTAAGAGCTTTTTTTGAAAAGTTTAACGAGGAAGCAGGCCAATCGGCAACCATTATAGAATTTATTTTATATGCGTAAACAATGTAAATTTTAATTCACATTATATATTAGTATATTATAACTTCATATAATTGGTTATTTATTTCTTTTTTAAAATTATTAAATTAGAGTTACCATAGATAGTTACATCTCGTTACATGTTACTCTAATCTGATAGTTAAATAACTTTATACCGTCAATATGTAGATGTTAAACTCTAAATGTATACATGCAGAAAGATCAAATAATTTTTCTGCATTCGAACTCTAAAATGTAAAATTCTTTGACTTTCAATTTTTTGTCGGCACTAATTAATTATCCAACTAATAAATTACCAGAATTTATTTTCATCGGATTTAAAGCAAAAATAATAGTTGAATTATAAGATTTATATTATATTTTGTAACGTTTAAATCTATCTGAAAAGAATGGAAATTACTATATTATCAATTTTATTTGTCCAATATTACAGATGGAGAAGACAAAGGACAAGATTTTTGCGTAGTCAGTAACGTAGGAGAAAGTTCAAATAAACTTTATAAAGTAGAAAGAGGAAGAGAGATCATATACAACTTGTACAGTCTAAAGAACTAAATTTAAACTATTTCTAACAAAAAGGAAATGATATGAAGCAGGAGGATAATTGTTATTACAACAAGCAAATATATATTAAAAAAAGTAATGAAAGAAGAAGAAGTTACATGTAAGCTCTCTTCCTCTT